TTTTTTTTAGAAAAAAGAGAAAATAGGAAAAAAATTTCTTTCTAAATTTTTAATTGATTTTTAATTTATTAATTAATTTTTTAAAATTTGTTTTGCTTTTTTTGTAGTTTGCTTTGCTTTGATTTTTGTTTTTTATCAAGATTTTCTTGATTTTCTCTGTTTCACTGCTAGGATATTATCATTATAACCAGTAAGTTTACTGCTTTTCTTTATTGTTTCCCTGATATCTTTTACTGGACTTTCTCCCTGCCCTTGGGTTATCTCTTTCTCTTCTTTTTCCATTGGCATAATTTTTTTTTTCTTCCTTTTTATTCTCTGTCCTCCTGTTTTTTTGTTTGTTTGTTTCTCTTTGTCTCTTTATTTTATTTTTATTTTTTCTTTTTCAAATATTTTTCTACTCCAATGCTCTAGCCTTAATTTTATCCTTGCCCTTCTTTCAGAATATTTTCTTTGCCTTTTTTATCTCCAAGTAACTTCTCTATTTTTTACTTTTAATTTTATTATTATTTTTAATTTTTCTTTACTATTAGCAATAATACCCTTTTCTTTCTCTCTCTCTTTTTGTTTGTCTGTTTTTGTTTGTTTGTTTTTGTTTTAGCATTTGTGTTCTGGCTTTGTTCTCCTTTCTTTGATCCCTGTTCTCCTTTCTTTGTGAAGTTTTCATTGTGATTGTGAGGATATTTATTTCCTGCTAGTTTGGTTGTGTTTTGTTTTGCCTTGCCAGCACCTGTACAACAGCTCACATGACGTGGTTGGTGCTGAGCCACATAGTTAGCCAACTTCAGAGGACAGTCCTCCCAAGAATGGGTCAACAACAATCTAGACCCAATCACAACAGGAAAGCCCAAAGAACCCACAAAAGGGTCTCCCACAGTAGGGACATGACTAAAGGAAATAGCTCACAAGTATAAGCAAAACACACTTCTGGGATCCATAGAACATACACTACGTAATCCCACCCCACAAGACTGAGAGACAAAAATATATCTAATATACAGATACAAACACTAAGAGCCTCCAAAATGAGGAGACAAAGAAAACCTCCAAATTAAAGAAAAGGAAAAATTACCAGAAAAAGGCCTTGATGAGATGGAGTTAAGCAAATTATCAGAAATAGAGTTCAGAGTAATGGTTATAAAGATGCTCAAAAAATTAATGGGAACAGCAAGAGGCTTAATGGAAAGGTCCAGGAACTTACTGAAAACATGAGAAAGTGTTAGATATCATCAAAAGGAACCAGGCAGAAATGAAGAATACTATGTCTGACATCAAGAATGTGCTGGAATTAAAAGCAGGCTCAATGAAGGAGTGGATAGAATAAGTGACTTAGAAGATGAGGAAGAAAAAAAAACCACTCAATTAGAGCAGAAAAAGAAAAAACATGTAAAAAGCATGAGAACCATCTAAGGGAGATTTGGGATAACATGTAACAAAACAACATTCTCATCATAGGGATACAAGAGGGGGAGAAAAGTGAGCAAGGAATAGAGAAATTGGTGAAAGAACTAATAACAGAAAACTTCCCTAAGCTGTTGAAGGAGAAAGTCATACAAGTTCTGGAAGCAAAGAGGGTTCCAAAGAGGAGGGACCCAAAGAGACCCATTCCAAGGCCCATCATAATTAAAATGCAAATGTTAAAAACAAAGAGAGAATATTAAGGGCTACAAGAGAGAGAGAAGCAATAATCTACAAGGGAACACCCATAAGCTGACAGCAGATTTCTCAACAGAAACACTTCAGGCCAGAAAGGAGTGGCATGAAGTTCTCAAAGTAATGAAAAGCAAGAACATGCAATTAAGACTGCTTTATCAAGCTAGGCTATAATTTAAAATTGCAAGTGAAATACAGAGCTTCTCAGACAAAAGAAGGCTAAAGGAGTTGAAGAAATAATAATAAGAAGAAATGTTGAGAGAAGGTACATCAGCATAAAGGGGAAAAATGGCATTAAATAAGTATATATCTTTCTCTGCCTGGCTTGTTTCACTTAGCATAATTGGGGGAAAAAAATATATATCAATAGTAACCTTAAATGTAAATAGAATAAATGGTCCAATCAAAAGTCATAGGGTAGTTGAATGAATAAGAAAACAGGACCCAAATACATGCTGTCTACAAGAGACCCACCTAAGAGCAAAAGATTCACACAGGCTGAAAGTGAGGTATGGAAAAAAATATTCCATGCAAATGGAAACAAAAAAACAGCTGGAGTAGCAATACTTACTTTGACAAAATAGACTGGAAAATATAGACAATAACAAGAGACAAAGAAGGTCACTACATAATACTAACGGGATCAATCCAGCAGGAGGATATAAGCATTATAAATATATATGCACCTAATATAGGAGCACCTAAATATATAAAAAATTTCTTGGTGGACTTTAAGGGAGAGATTGACAGCAACACAATCATAGTGGGGAACTTTAACACCTCACTCTCATCTTTGGACAGATAATCAAGTTAAAAAATCAACAGGGAAACAGAGACCTTTAATGACACACTAGATCTAATTGATTTAATTGAAATTTATAGAACATTTCACCCCAAATTAGGAGAATACACATTCTGCTCAAGTGCACATGGAACATTTTCAAAAAGAGACCACATGTTAGGGCACATGGAAGTCTCTGTAAATCCAAGAAGATTGAAATTATATCAGGCAACCTCTTGGATCACAATGTCATGAAACCACTATAAAAAAACCTCAAAAATATTCAAACACAGGGAGGCTAAATAGCATGTTATTAATTAATGAATGAGCTACTAATGAAATCAAAGAAGAAATCAAACACTTTCTGG